ATTTACGGTTACATTTCATGCCAAAGAAACCGAGGAGAACTTGCTACGATCGTTGGTAATAAATCAAAACAAAGATACAATACTCTTTCCTTACAACTTCAAGTGAGTGTTACTGTCTTGTGCATATTCGGTTTCCCTTAATTATTACTCGAGGTTATAGTAATTAATGTAATAAATGAGTTATTCATGCGTGCGCAGTTTCCACTATATTCTCCTAGAGATTAAGCTTGAGCAGGGACTAGTAAACGTCTTAGACTCGAGGCGAAAAGATCCCAAGGACTATGCGGACATGTCTAAAATGCTCGAGAAGTAAGTTGAATCGATCATTATCGCACCATATCGGCAACTTTGTTCATTTCATGATATCAAGTAATTGTTTTCTTTGTCTTGCAGGGTTTGGAAAGTATTCACCGCACAAGTTCCGGGACTGCCCGGGATCTGCGATGGAATTACCCGAAAGTAAGTATTATTAGCTAGCTAGTTCCATGCATCTCCCGTTGATTCTAGCTACTTTCATCAATGCCATTTATAATGCTTCATTATCAGTTTGATTGACCTCTATTTCTCGTAAAGTGCTTGTGGCAGGAAGCCAGGAGTAATTACTATGGATACTACGTCTGCGAGTTCATCTACAACGCGACGGCCAACAATAGGCGGGGCTACTCTAAAAGACAATATGAAGTGCGTAAGGAAAAATATTCACAAGTTTATTTTATTACCATCATTTCTGTTCACTTTCATTCATATGACCCCCTTCTTGAAATTAGATGTGGCAGATGCGGGATGGACTCCTACCACAAGATCGCATGCGAGCAATTCAAGAGGAATTGGCTGGATTCTTTCTTGACCACGTCATCAATAAAGCCAGAGAATACCACCATGCATGTGGAATTTGAGTTCATATGTTAGGGTATTGTAAGAGATCTTACACATTGTATATTTATATATGTAGCCAGTAGCATCGGTAAGATATACAAAAACTTGTTGTTCGACCAATCTCTCGGAGAAGGAGAGGTCGATCACTTCTCTCTGTATATGTTCATGACGATCTTCTGTACTTAATAGTTTCCTTCATTTGCTTACTAGCTAGCTAGCGTGTCGAGTCCTCTCTATACGTAGCGTCGACCAAGCACAGAGATAAGAGAGGACACTTCTCTCTATTAGCTAGCTAACACAATATATGAAACCCCTAAATTGACCCTACAAAACCCCCCACCCCACCCCACCCTTCAGAAAAAAACAAAAAATCCAACCCCTGAACTGTTGACGCGTGGAAGCCTTTTGGTCCCGGTTAGTGGCACCAACCGGGACAAAAGGCCCCCCTGCCTGGGCAAGTGGTAGCGGCCACGTGGATCCCCATCTATCCCGGTTCCTGGGCAAACCGGGACTAAAGGTGCAGGGCTTTAGTATCGACCCTTTAGTCCCGGTTCGGGAACCGGGACAAATGGTCCTCACGAACCGGGACGAATGACCCTTTTTTCTACTAGTGGGAGCACTAGCAGATATTCCAATAGAAGAATCTATCTGGAATACATGAGGAACCGACATAATGCGCCAGTACCATATCAATGGATTTGGAAGTCTTGTAGCCTACCTAAACAGAAATTCTTCTTTTGGCTACTCATATAAGATAGGCTAAACACCAGGGATCTTCTAATCAGGAAAAACTTTTCATATTGAGAATGGCAGATGTGAATTCGTGATGTTGAGCCTAATAAACACTTGATGCACCTATTCTTCAGTTGTAATTTCAGCCAAAAATTCTGGCTTGCACTAGGTTTCCAATGGATTACAAATTTTGATCTGATAGAGATGCTGATAGATGGAAAGAAGAGAAGTGACATTGAATTCTACCAGGAATGCTAATTGTTGTATGTTGGAGATTATGGAAGCATATAAAGCAATCTAAATCGATGGCATTTGTAGAAACCCCTCGGTATGTGTATTTTGTGGCAATCATAAAAGATGCCCTAAAAGCTTCATCCATCGGAGCCATTTTCAGATCCGCCTTCTTATATACAGTTTGGAGGCATTTATAGAAACACTCTTACCAAAACGCCTCATATTGACAACCGTGTTATAGTGTTTGGATACAACAGCCAAGTGGGTTTGTGCAGGTTTGATTCTAGTGTTGTCGATTGGATTGAATTGGTATGGAGCGTGAGATAGTTGTACATCGGCGTGGCGTGGGTTTGGTGCTGCTTTATTCCCATTCCCAGGTTGACACCCTGGTTTGTTATGTGAGAAAAAATAGTTGTTGTTTCATGCATATATTTCTAGCCATGTTTGTATATACCATCATAAGTAGGCTTGTGTAATTTGTAAAGGTGATGTGGCATAGAGAACAAATATGATAATAAATGAAGTAAAGACCGCATAAAAGAAATATAATAATTGTTGTTTTATGATTAAAAATAGGTCCAGGGCAATAAAATGATGCATGAGGAGAAGTTATTGTATTCTTACTTTTCTTCTCTTAACGCGTCGGTGTCACTATTACCACTTGATTGGTTTGTGAGGAAAGTGACTCCTTGATTGATTTCATAAGCAGAAAACAAGTGACCACACATCTGAGTGAGAGGTGTAAATGATTTTGAAAGAGGAGTGGACTTTTCAATTATTCAACATGTAGCCTTTTGAAATGAAGAGGAAGATGAAGATGAAGATAGGGAAAAGGAAAGAAAATGTTGTGGCACCACCTCACCCATCCATCTCCATGTAGATAGATGTAGATGTAGGAAGGAAAAAAGAGAAAGAAATCCCCAACTAAACTCAACTCCTTGGTCAGATCATATTTGCTCCCCTCCCCTCCCCACCCAAATCTATCCAAACCCTAACCAAACCCCCAACTCAACTCGACTTCACTCAAGCATGGCTCTGGCGGCCGATCGCGGTCGAGGACGAGGACGGGCTAGGGGACGTGGTCGTGGCCATGGACATGGCCGAGTGGCCAAGACCCCACCGCAGGTTCCTTTCTTCCCCCACTACCTTCATTCATCTCTCTCTCTCTCTCTATGTGTGTGTGTGTTTGTGTGTGTGTGTGTGTGTGTGTGTCTAACCAACCAATCCCCTCGCTTGCTCCTGCCCGCAGAACCCGCGTCGGAGGAGGCTCCTAACGCCGCCGAGCAGGAGCAGGAGCAACTCACCCACGGTGCCCTTCTTCCTCTTTCCTCCACTCTACTTAAAGTTTTAATTTTCCTTCTTATTAATGGGAAGAAGATGGCTCTAACTAGTGAAGGGGGAGGAAAAGTGAGGAAAAAGATAAAGGGGTTGCATTAATGAAGGTGGTGTAGTTAGCTAGGGGCATTAAAGAGAGAGAAAGAGAGTAACGGGGGGAGAAGAAGTAGTGAGGGAGAGAGGAGGGGGAGGGAAAAGTGAAGGGAGAGAGGGGGAAGGGGGAGAGGGAGATGGGAAAGGTGGCAGTTGCGCTTTAGCAGCATCGCGGGTCAGTAAACGACGCTACTGCTAAAAGTTAGCAGTAGCGCGGTCCTTCAAGCAGCTGTGCTGATAAGTGGGCCCGCCATGTGGCATAGTACAAACCTAGTTGCAGCAGTGTTCCTGAGAAATGTGCTACTGCTACCTTTTTATCGGTAGTGCGACTCCTCGCGGCCACGCTGCTAGTATACGTAGCATCTTGGCTAAGGTGTGGTTCTCATAGCTGTAGGGCCTTTGGGAAAGGCCGCGCTACTGCTAAGGAAATAGCAGGACGCGGTCCAATCAACATGAAAAGGAACGCTACTCGTTTTTTTAGTAGTAGAGAAAATAAATAAATCGACTTTTCATTAAAAAATGCTTGCCCCAAATCTTGGATGTTCCCGCTTGTTGATTTCCTTATGTACCCTTAGGGCATCTCCAACAGCAACCCGCAAATTTCCTGCAGTATCCATCCACGGACAGGGGACCAATCTGCGGACACTGATGCGGGAGGCGGCCATCCAGCGTTGCCCCCATACATTTCAACCTCTTTTTCACAAACCAGATGAGTTTCATACAAACCAGCGGATTTCATATAAACCAGACGAAATTCATTGCATTTTTGGCATATTTTAACTAACACAGGTAAAACTATGGGCATGTTTGCCCCCGCAGAGCTCCATTCCCACTACATGAATACAATACACTAGTCTGCGGTGGGCCGCAACGGATCCCTTTGTCTTCCCCATGTCCGACAGCCTGCTTATCTGACTGCTAGGAGCCTCGGAGGCATATTCCTCCCCCTTTCCCTATCTCCGGCTGCGTCGCTTGCCAGAGTGGCAAAGAGGGTGCTTCAGCCGTAGGGGAAGGGTTGCGTTCGCTTCCGTGAAGCATGGATCTGTGCTTGTTTTTGGGGCTGGGGGAGGACAATGACCTGCTATAGAGGATGAGACACCGACTGTGGACGCCAGCGACTCGCCTGCAGTGGCCTTATTGGGACCGAAGCGGCGGGTGGCCTCTCATGTTCTACTTTTTCCTCAGTATCGTCGGCGAATGCGAACGCGCTGGCCACTGACTCGTCGAGCTCCATGTAGCCAGCTTCTTTCTTCATTGATTGGGCGTAATTTTGCCAACATTGACAGCGGATGGCATGGTGTCTGGCCTCGTTCATGCTAGCCATGATGCCCGCTCTATCGTGCTCCCCTGCGTGCCTCCCTGGAGCAACTCGCCACTCCTCCACGAGCTAGCTTGGAGCGGTGAGTTGCTGAACCACGCGTTGATTTGGAGCAGCGAGCTAGCTTGGAGCGGCGAGTTGCTGAACCACGCGTTGACTTGGAGCAGCAACTTGCTCCGTCGGGCTAGGCGATGGAGGCGGAGCAGCGAGCTGCCTCGCTCATATCCGGTGGGCTCAACGGGCCACCCAACCAACTTTTATGCTGGAGAACTGCTCTTCCTACTCGATAGATGCCAGAAGGGTGGAGAAAAAAAAGTAAAAAAGAACGCCTCGAAAGTGTATCCATCACAAGGACTTTTCAACAATTAATGCCTCGCAATCTAATCGATGGCATTTGCAGAGACCCCTTGGTATGTGTATTTTGTGGCAATCTAATCTAATCTGTCCCGTCCCCAACCCTAACCCCCAACTCCACTCCTTCATCAGCAAGCAAAGCAAAGGCATGGCGCCGGCGGCCGGTCGCGGGCGAGGACGAGGACGGGCCCGGGGACGCGGGCGAGGACGCGCGGCCAAGACCCCGCCTCCAGCCGCAGGTGCTTCCTTTCTGTCTTTCTTTCCCCCACCATCTTCAAGAGGACGCGCGCTCTCTTGCAGGTGTCTAACCAACCAACCAACCAAATCCCCTTCCTTTGCTTGCGCAGAACCCGCGCCGGAGGAGGCCCCCGACGCCGCCCACCACCAAGAGCAAGAGCAGGAGCAGGACAAGGACAAGGGGCAGGAAGAGCAGGAGCAGCTCACCCACACCCAAGGTACTTCCCCTTGTTCCTCCGCCCTATCTAAAAAAATAAAAAAGTTTTCGACTTTCCTTGTTGTTATTACTGCCCGTCTCCTCTTCTTCTTGTTGCCAGATGCCTCTGCCTCTGCTTTTGCCGGGCGGGAGACGATTGAGATCTCCGACTCCCCAGACGCATCCCCTCAGCATCAACAACAAGGAGGCGCCTCCTCCTCGCCACACATAGATACTACTAGTAACTACACTACCTACTCTAACTCTATATATGAGATGTTGCTTCTATCTATTCTAATGGAATGGAATGGAATGTCATATATGATGCCAGGCTCAACCCATCAGATCAAGGAGGAGCCAAGCTCAATCACAGCCGTCCACCACAAACCCCATGAGCCCTCTCCCTCTGCTGCCACCAATATTGACGAGCAGCAGGAGAAAATGGAGGTGGAGGCTGGAGAGCCTCATGATATGTTCTTGTCCGTACAGGAAGAAGAAGCAGCAGCCCCTCCACAAGAAGAACAAGAGGCAGACAAGCAAACGCTACAGAACAAGGCAGCACAGGTGATAGAGCCGGAGGGTGCAAAACCCGATGATGATGATGATGATGATGATGATGATGATGATCTAGTCGTAAAGGGTGATGTTGCTGCAACTGATGATGCACAAAATAAGCAAGACAGTCAAGCTCACCAACTCCACCAGGAGGAACAAATGCTTGCTGCAACTCATGATGATGCAGAAAATAAGCAAGGCACCCAAGCTCACCCACTCCACCAGGGAGAAATGGATGCTGAGCGGGAAGAGGAGGAGGAGGAGGAGGAGGAGGAGGAGGATCCCGAAGAGGTCATTTTCGAGGACTCTGTCTCTGTGGGTGACGGGCAGGCCGCAACTGAGGACAAACAAGGAGATGACCCTGCTGCTAGGGCCACGGAGGACGACGACGGGCAGGCTGCAGCTGAGAGCAAACAGGAAGAGCACCGTGCTAGGGCGATGGAGGAGGACGTGCAGGCTGCAGGTGAGATCAAACAGCAAGAGGACGAGCGCAAGGTTATGTCAGACATGGCCAAGAACAGGCAGCGCAAAAAGGAGCTAGAGATCTTTGTGGGAGGGCTGGACCGTGAAGCCGTCGAGGAGGATATCAGGAAGGTGTTTGCGCAGGTCGGTGATGTTGTGGAGGTCCGTCTCCACAAGGATCCCTCCACCAACAAGAACAAGGGGTTTGCGTTCGTCAGGTTTGCAAACAAACAGCAGGTGGCTCGGGCGCTTGCTGAGGTGAAGAATCCTATGGTAATATACCTCAGCTCCCCTGACATTCTCACTTTGAAAAAAAATGTTAAGCCACACTGTTCTGTGATGCGATATCCGATTGTTTACTTACTTATTTATTTAATTTCTTTTGCTGCAGATACATGGCAAACGTTGTGGTGTTGCTGCTAGCGAGGACAACGATACACTGTTCTTGGGCAATATTTGCAATACATGGACAAAGGAAGCTGTATGTTTTCCTGAAATAATATGCGCAACCATGATGAGCCTGTTAATAAGTAATTTGCTGATTTTGCGCCTTTGTTTTTCAGATTAAGAAGAGGCTGCTTGACTATGGGGTAGAAGGAGTTCAAAGTTTAACTCTTGTTCCTGATACTCAAAACGAAGGCCAGAGCCGTGGTTTTGCATTTCTCGAGTTCTCTTGCCACGCGGATGCGATGCTTGCATTCAAAAGGCTGCAGCAACCAGATGCTCTATTTGGTCACCCTGAGAGAACTGCAAAAGTTGCCTTTGCAGAGCCAATAAAAGAAGCAGATGCAGAAGTTATGGCTCAGGTGCGTAACGACCTTACCATGCTTCCGTTCTGTATATACACAGGATTGTTGTATAAGCAAGTTGCCTTCAATTTTTATCCCTATTGGTTAGGTGAATTAAGTGACAAGTATAGAAAGATGTCATTGTACTTGCAATATTGGTCTCAATACTACCTATTGGTTAGTTATTTGTAGTTTATCCAAGAGTTATGATTTACAATGATGCTCATAATTAGCTGCTTGTTAATTGTTTCTTTTTCATGTCCAACCATCGCAAGTATATGATTTGTCATGTCGTTGACTACTTTTTCATGCTGCAGGTCAAATCAGTTTTTATTGATGGACTTCCACCATACTGGGATGAAGAACGTGTTAAAAACCGATTCAGAGCTTATGGTGTGATAGAACGAGTTGTGCTTGCTCGCAATATGTCTAGTGCTAAAAGAAACGATTTTGGATTTGTCAACTTCTCAACCCATGAGGAGGCTCTTGCTTGTATTGAAGCCACCAACAACACCGAGCTGGGTGATGATGGAAAAGCAAAGGTATTTTTCTGGTTTGGAATGGTACCGTACCGTCTTTGTTTTCACATGTCCTTGTGTTGATGCTTATAAGTGATAATTTTGGTGTTTTTAACTTAGCTAAAAGTAAGGGTTAGACTTTCAAACCCTTTACCTAAAAGTCAGGCTGTGAAAGGTGAAATGAGTGGCGGGTTTCGAATTGGACATCCTGGATCTGGTTTTAACAGGCCTGGTAAGTAATTGTGCCCCCTCCCCAACTTCCACGAATGCTTGTGTTGTTATATGAGGATTTGTTTGTTGACTTTTATGGCTGTGCAGGTAGAGGTTTTAATAGGGACAGAGCTGCCCCTCGCCGGGAAGGTTTCCATGGTGATAGGGGTTTCAATAATCACACTCCTGGTCGTGGTGCGAGATTTAATTCTGCATACAGTAACAACAGTTTTGAAGCTTCGCCCTCTGATTTCCGAGCCAGGCAGGCTCCTCCTGCCTTTCGAGGTGGGCTTTCAAAAACACAAATTTACTCCTTCAACCTTTTGAGCGCTTTTTTACACTGCCGACTAATGTTCGCAGGGGGGAGATGGGAACCTTCCTCAGGAAGGCATGATTTCTTTGATAGAGGGCAGGGGAGAGGGTATCATCATCCACCTAGAGGGCCAACATTTGAGCCTGAGGGTGATTTTGGTAGACCCTTTGGTGAAAACCCATATCTCTATGAAGATGTTCGGCATAGTGCTAAGAGGCCATATTCTCACATGGTTTGTTACAATATTTGTATTGCTATGTTAAGTGCTAAGTAATTCTCTGTGCCATCTGCACTGAACTTACTTTTTATTTATATGATAGGAACCCGGCCCTCCTGGATACTTTGAGCATGGTCCTCCTCGTGTGCGCCCTCGCTTTGACCATTACGAGCAGCCACCATTTCCTGGAGGGAACCGTTTTGGTCATTATGACCAGCCACCATTTCCTGGAGGTGACCGCCACAGAGGTTGTAATCCTATGTTGTAACCTAACCATTTTGCTCTGCCCCTTTGATCTTATTTTGTGATAGTTTCTCATTGTATATTTGCAATTGCAGACTCTTTTGGGACGAGGGGTGGTTATTCACGTGATCACTATGGCCCTGGTTCTGGTCCTGGTCATGCCCCGCCCCCCGCCCATGCCCATGCCCCGCCCCCTGCCCATGCCCATGCCCATGCCCATGCCCCAGCTGTAAGTATAATACCTTTGTGACTTGGTTATCCCTCTATCTATTTGTCTAATTTTCTGGCTTTTGCTTTTCTCTACCATGTAATGCAGCAATATGGTAGGGGTGCATTCCGACCACACCAAAGAGGCGGGCATTCTGGAGGCGGTTATTACCACCACTAGGTGGTATCACAGTATGTCTCTTGTCACCTGGTGTGACTTCGTGTTACTGGTCCTGTTTGATATTTGCATCGTGGGGCACTAACATGGGTTTACATGCAGACTTCAGGTGGTGCCGCGTTACACTAGTGTTTGTGTTTGGTATGACTAGTGAGAAACATTATGCCGCTTATTAGCTACTAGTACTCACAAGTCGGTTGGTTGTTAGTTATCTTGAGATGATAATTACCGTTGTTGGGGAGCAATAATTAATTTTCCTTGTTAAAGGACATGTTTGGGGTGATGAATGTGTTGTGAGGATATTGGTGGATGATGTTATAGAACTAGAGGCATGAGTGACATGGACCGACCTCTCTGTATTTGATTAGATAACACTGTGGATTATGGATTTTAGACAGTTTATGTGGCTTTGCCTGAGATTGTTGATGTTGGTCTTGAGGTCAAATGGGGATATGAGACTGTTGTTTGGTAAGATATTTGATTCTTGTCTTGGGGATATTTGGTGTAAATGTTGTGATTATATAGTGGATCATGCAGTTTACGGTGTCAGAATTGTTGGAGTTGGTCAAGTAGACTCTTTTCTGGAGGTTCATTGGCTATTTTAGCAGTTGGTCCAAATTTGTTGAGGTGCTCTTTGGGGGACATGATGACGGAATTTGAGCATGGAACAGGAAGTTACTTTGGTGTTATGAGATTGGTTCTGGTTTATAGTCAGTCAATTATGAGTTGGATTTTGGGTTTAAGGAAGATTCGATTCGATGGAACCGTTTAGGCTTTTGTGTTTCCCTTATGTTATATACAAGTTGTCTGTCCTGTGGGTTTCTTTTAACACTTGTAGCTCTTCCTTCTTGTCTTGGTAATTTGCTAACGTAGTAGCTTTAAGCGAAAATTAGTGGAGCACACTAGAAGAAGTCTGCTGAGGCAGGTAAGAAAAGCATGCTCATCTAGAGGTTTGGTTTGCTGCGTTCTTGTTCTTATTCTTGGGGCGATGAAGGCAGGCATTCTTGGTGTATGCATAGCAGCATCTCAAGAAGGATTCTTCTCTTCTCACATTTGACCACTCTTGTGTTTTGATGTACATTCCCAGATGTTCTTTTTGTTTTTTCAATTCCATGCACACAAGTTTTGAATGTGATGATAATTGTAATTCTTGGTGCGAATAAGTCAGGTATGAAAATCGTTTCACACCCGGGGCGGGACGGGTTATTCGTTGTTACTGATGGTTGGAACAAAATGGGTTTGTCTCGTGTGGTAGAAACAAGTGCAAAATGGGTTTGTTTCGCCTGCATTTGCGAGAAAATACAACTTGAACATACTCCAAAACGTTTCGAGTCTCAAACAAGTGATGATTTTTACATGCTCAAATTCAACAAGTGATGAACCGTCTGAATTCTCACGCCCAAAAGGGTGATTCTGTAATTGATTGAAATCTAGCATTCATCTCTGTCGACAACACTCGCTCGAATTCTTCTGGTTCATGTACCCAAGTTGACGATCCAATCCTGTATGTAAAGATTGATTGATGACCATCATATATCACAAAACAAGATAAGACCATGCTCGTCTCTTGATAAACAAGAAGAAGAAACACACAAGATGTGCATTGTATTGGCCATGCAAATTGGCTGGGTATCCAAAAACAAAACGGATGCCCCCTATATTATTGTTACCTCTTCTTCTGCCCAAGCCCAAAAAGAAAAATCACCTGCGGCTAATTCTTCCAGGTTCCCTACCCAGCCAGCCATGTATGTATCTTGTCAATTTCAATTAAACATGCAAGACAGACAGAGGTTACGGGTTACCTGCACTGCACTGCCTAGGATGATAGTGGATATTGCTATCAGTATCATCTCAAGACTTTCACCTCTATCATACAACAATTTTTCAGTTCCTAGACTGAAAGAAATCCCAATGTCGACCATCCTCGTGTTTTATCGATTGAACCATACACCTACTGCAGGTACTGGTCAATGTCATTTCTTAAAATCTGTCGACAAGAAATGCCTGGCGCACTACACACAAAATCTCTACTGGCAGTGCAAATTAAATGGTGGTGTACAAGACTGGGCGTTCAGAAACCCATATCCTATAATGTTAACCTGAATTTCACATGTCCTAAATGAACCTTGCATATATCATCAGTTTAACATGCAAGACAGAGGTTACGTTTCTTCCAGGTCCTGCCCAACCTTGTGCGATAGAAATTTTCATCATATCACACCTAACAATCCTCGTGTTGACAAACCTACTGCAGATACTAGTCAATGTAATTTCTTAAAATCTGTCAAGAAGAAATGCCTGGCGCACTACACAAAATCTGTACAGGCAGTGCAAATTAAATCTTGTACAAGACTAGGCATTCAGAAACCGCTCTCCTATAATGTTACCTGAATTTTCCACATTCCACCCAACCTTCTATACGTCATCAATTTAGCATGCAAGACAGAGATTACGGGTTACCTGCCTACTGTATCTTCCAGGTCCAGCGTACATCATTTTAACATGTAAGACAGACAGACAGAGGTTACGGAATACCTGCTGCCTAGGATGATAGTGCTATCATCATCTCAAGACTTTCAGCTCTATCGCACAACAATTTTCCAGTTCCTAGACTGAAAGAAATACCATCCTCGTGTTTAACGATTGAATGATACACCTACTAATGCAGATACTAGTCAACGTCATTTCTTAAAATCTATATCAAGAAATGTCTGGCGCAGTACACACAAAATATGTACTGGCACTGCAAATTAAATGTGGTACAAGACTGGGCATTCAGAAACCAAATATCCTGTAATGTTAGCTGTATCTCCAATGTCCTACCCAATCTATTCAACATGCAAGATAGAGGTTACGGGTTACCTTCCTACCGTTTCTTCCAGGTCCGGTCCGACCCAACCTTGTATATATACCATCAATCATTTTAACATGTATAAGACGGAGATTACGGGTTACCTTCCTACTGTTTCTTCCAGGTCCGGTCCGACCCAACCTTGTATATATCATCAATCAATTTAACATGTATAAGACGGAGGTTACCTGTCTACTGTTTCTTCCAGGTCCTAACCAAACCTTGTATGTCATCAATCAATCATTTTAACATGTAAGACAGAGGTTACGGAATACCTGCCTAGGATGATACGGCTTTCAGCTCTATCATATCAAACAACATTTTTTTCAGTTCCTAGACTGGAAAACACAATCTGAGAGTGCACGTAAGATGTAATAAACACAGAAATATTGCCAAGAACAGATGGTACCTTCCTCTGTTTTTTATCCTCTCTATAATAAAAGGAAGACCATAGGTATGGTTTCAACAAAGAGCTGCTAGAGCAGAGTAAGGTTTAAATTTAATCATGACAACACCCAGACATTGCGACTGAATGAATAAACAAAGGAGCATAATGGTCTACCTCACGAGTCTCATATAACTTGAAATGATTAATAACCATGCCTGCCCGGAGACCGGGACCTGCTCCTCATCCTCCCCGGGTCTCCTCTTCTTGAAAAATCACCACCGTTCCTGTCTCTGGGCCTCGCCCTTTCAGAATCCCTCCGGCTGTTATAGGAACCGCCTCTATAGTCCGACCCTCTACCTCCCTGCTCATAGGGCCTCTCTCTGTCACGGCTCCGCTCATAGTAGCGGTCACGGTCGTGCTCCCTGGATCTCTCCCTATAGTCGTCGCGGTGGCCTCTGTTATGGTATCCTCTCTCCCGGTTCTGACGCTCCTCTGCTTCCTTCTCCCTTGCAAGCTTCTCCGCTTCTTTCGCAGCCTGAAAAAGCAAACTATCGTCAGAACTTGGTGTGTGTGATGAAGCCAAAAAAAAAAGGAACATTGTTCTCGTGTAGCACGACAACTAGTTACAACTGACCTTGTATTCTGCGAGGAATTCCCTGACCAGACCATAACCAATGTGCTGCTTGCCAGTGACATGGGACTGCGTCCTCTCAAGGACGTCGTTGGTGACGAGAAAGGAGCCGCACTGCTCGCAGAGCTCCATCTTCTTCTCTTGCGGGACCATGGAGAGCTTGGTCTCAATCTGGTGGGTGAGAGCCGACTTCTCGAGGTTGAGAATGTCCACCTGCAAGCCAGGAACAGAAACTTTGGTTGGGGCATCATGTAATTATCGCCAATGGCTATTAATTATCCTCTAAACAGACCCTAATAAAATTAGTAAACACAAAAAGGAGTCTACCTTCCTCATGAGGGCGGTGGCCTCGTCGATCTTGCCGGTGTCGCCGAGCTGCTCAATCTGCTCGAGCAGCTTCTTGATCTTCTCTTCGAGGATGGAGAGCTGCTCGACCTTTTCGGCGTGGGCAGCAGGGGGCGGCAGCTCGACGACGTCCTGAGCCAGCCTGTCGCGGCCGCGCCTGATCTTCTTATCCAGGTCCTGGACCTGCAGCAGCAGCAGCAGCAGAAAGAAAATGTTAAAATCTGGACAATTCAACCAAAATAGCACCAATTCAGTGTGGATGCAAATCTATACCAGCCTCTCGCAGCGGTGGGCGAGGTCGGCCTCAAATTTGGGGAGGGCGGCGGCGTAGCGGGGGGAGGACTCGAAGCTGCATACATCATCGATTTGGTTAGGATTAGGATTTGGTTAGCGGGAGGATGAAGATGAATCGAAAGAAATCGGAAGAAATCGAAATCTGGGAAAGAAAGAAAGAAAGAAGGAACCTTTGCTTTAGGGCCGGGTCGTGGATCTTTGGGCATACTCCGAGGTTGCTCTTGGTGTTGATGAAGAGGTCGTGGGGGCAGAAGCGGGCCATGTAAGGGGCGCACACGTCGGGGTCGTCCCACGCCACCTCCCGGTGCTCCTTCTTCTCCTCCTCCGTCAGGTCCCGCGACGAACCCATCAGCGCGTCAAGCAGAGCACGCTGCGCGTCCATCGAATCTTTTCGATTCGATTCCACCACGCTGCGCCGGCCGCTTCAATCCAATCCAATCCAATCGGGTCTCCGCTCCGGCCGCAAACCCTAACCCTAGGGAGAGATCAGCAGG